CTTAAGGGTAACATAAATGTGTAAACGGAATGTTTATTAGGGTGGCTCACTGGGGGTTTTGGTAAGGGGGCCGATGTCAACACTGTTGCATAGGTTTGATTCCCAAACCATTACCTTACGCGGTATTAGAAAAAAAATAACAAACACACTTCACACAATATTTACGTATTCAATGGAACACATTTTCCATTCTTTTGGCAATTCTTAGGATTCCAATCGATGATTTTTTTCAAATTTCGTCCATATAATGAGATTGCCTTCATTAACTGAAAAAAAATTAAATTAAACTAAATCAAAACAATATTTTTAATCTTAATTTCGGACCAAAAGAATGAATAAAACACTACTCACCGATTGACAAAATAAAAAAAGAAGAAAATCTTTGGAATTGGAATAAAAAACGACTTGAACATCTTACTGAATACACGCTGTTGCCGTAGAACAGTTTTTAATGTTGACGTTAAAGTTGCAACTCTTCACCATACCAAGTAAGTTATAGTTTAGGGATCTTATTTATGCATCAGTATTGACTTGGACTACTTGGACTAAAATTGGAATACTGCAAGCACTTTTAAAACTTATTAACCACTATGTGAGAACCCAAATGTGTTTGTTGCGTTAACAGTGCTGTGGCATGAGAGCAAATCCAACATCGAAGAAACATATGTAAATGTTTTATCGAATTAATGCTTTACAAGTCAGGTTTTACAAGTCTTCCATATTATGTAGAGATTTGTGCGTGTTAAAAAGCATATGGACAATCGTGCGTGTTAGAAAGCAAATGGAAAGTATTAAATACGTTCTTTGTGAACTGCTGCATTTGTCGAAAGATTTGTTAATCGTTAGTTCATACACCAAAAAGCCAGCGCCAGTGTTCACACACAAATCTGCAAAATACTAGTTATGTTGCCATATTTTTAAGCCTCGTACCCAGGCCCTTTATTAGTAAAAACACAACATTGCAACATTGCAGTTATTTTATAGAGGTCAGCTGGAAAAAAGAGAGCGCGGAGGAGTGCTTGGGGTGGTTTTGTTTAGCGAGGAAGCGCATCGCAGAAAATGACTGATTTCTGACAAATCGTTTTTATTTTGCAGGGTTTTTTTCGTAATAATATATTCTTTTTTAAATCTTTTACTCGACTCGACCGTCGATGCGCTAGCCAAATTTTGTGAACGTTTCTTTTGGCGAAGAATCATCTGTGACTATATCGTAGAGTACTCACATTATTTCCTGCCGTATTTACATATTTACCATTGGGAAAAGCGAACGCATTTACAACATACTAAGAGGTTTCGATTCATGACATAAAGATAAACTCCTATTCCTTTGTTTGCACGATTAATAATCTGATGAATTCAACGCGAAAAGGCAACAACTTTAATTCAAATTAAGTAAATTGATTCTGTACGTGATACTTATCTAATCGGATATAATTTGTAAAATGAATAATTTGTAACATAAAAATGTTCAATATTATTCACCTATATCAAGTTTAAAACTAGTGTATCAGTTCTGTAAAAATACGAATCTAATTCATATGTTCACGCTATTTCTTTTGTTGAAAAATATCGTTCCTTATCCGTTTGGTTGCCGTTTAAGCGCTTCAAGCGTTCGTTGAAACGATTTTCGAGATCGCCCATCGTTCGAAATTGCCCGTTCTAACGCTTATAGGAAAAAACGTGCGAAAATTGTTCCAAAAGTGTTACCCGTTTTGATTCACCGTTCTGCATTCGTTGGAATGTTTGCTGGAATTTCGTTCAATCGCATTGGATTTGGTTCAACATTCGATTAAACATTTGTAATGTTACAACTTTATAGAAGAAGCGTAGAATGAAGACAGAATGAATGAAGCGCAGAATGAAGCCGAAGTGCAAGATGTAGTCAGTTATAATGCATCTAATTCCGTAAGTAATTGCGGTCATACGACATGTCAATGTCCTGGACGTGAAATCTTAGTAGATTTTCAAGGTATGAAGCCCTAAATGGCTATTTTACAATCCTTAACTATAATAACCATGAAAAACTACTTGCTACTAAATTAACATCTGTCATCGAAGGTGTTCGAATGAATACCGAACAGCAATCGGTAATCCAAAATTTAAATCTTAATTGTGCTGCTCTCGATAATTGTGTCTATTATCGGGGACATGTAGGGTTGACCGGTAGGGTTTCCCTAAATCCATGAAGAATGAGAAGGAGTGGGCAAAGAAGAAAGAGCGAGGAAGTATGCGTTAGGAGAGAGAATGAAATGTCCTAATGATGCAATGGATTGAAAATAAGCCAGTCAATTAGTTACATCAATTGATTCGGCAAATGAGAAAGTGACTGCAAAGAGACAAACAAAACTAGTGGTGTGTATGAAGGAAGGGATTGATGTTGACCAGCCTTATGCTTAATTTTTATAGGTACAACCAGTTCCTTAATGCTGTTGATCGATCCGATCAAATGCTTGCTTATCATAATGTGTCTCTTAAATGGTATATATAGGTAGTGGAAGACTTTGTTCTTCCATCTTATTGATATCGCTGTTGTTAACGGTTATCTTCTTTTCAGCAAATATCGTAAGGACAATCCCAACAATCCTTTTTTGAATTGACTTTAGATAGACACAATAATGTTTCCAACAGCAGTGGCATTTTACTCAATAATGATCGACCTGGTATATAATGCCCGTTGAACGTGATCGTGAATATATTATTCACGAACCGCAACTAGCTTGGCCAATTAAACAAAAACGTAAACAATACTAATGCTTCTGATGACTTCAGTCGACAAAATCATCAGTAAACCAGTCCAACAACAGTGAGACTATACACAAGACTCTCATACATTTATAGTTCGCTTAAAGTGCAGGACCAATTGAATAGCGTTACAAATAGAAATCAAGTGCCTCCTCGTTCGAAGATCTCCATTCTTGGGGACTCTGTGATAAAGCGAACACAGTCAAGACAAATTCGACAGGCTAGTGCTACTAGTAAATCTGTTTACATTCGCTCCTTCCCGGTCGCTAAAACAATATGCTTGACTAGGCTAAACCAGTCATGAGAGACAACCCTGACCACATTATTCTACATTATTGGGACAAATGATGCTCGTCAAAGTGATCCTGTAGCTATTGTTAAAAACATTGGTAACTTGTGTGATCAAATCAGAGAAAACTGTCCGCAAAATTCGCGAAATCGACAAGGAACAATATATTAATACTTAGCAGAATGAAAGGATCTCACCTGATTAATAATTCCAACATGAACTTGAAAGAACTTGATAGATATCGCCTTCATTTAAATGATGCTGGTGTAGAAAATCTAACTAACAATTTTATCAATCATATTAACTGTTTTTAGCGACTGTATAGGCAGGCCACACACTCTCTCATGCAGCGATAATAATGTTGACATGCTCTCGTCCAATGCTGAAAGCTCTCCCCATTTTATATCATGTGCCGGTAAACGTCCCTCTTTCCGACATTCCAATTAGGTTCCTCAGGATTTAAACTTTTTTTATCTCAGTAAATATTCAGGCCATTACTAATAAGCTTGATGCCGTTAAACTTTTAATTCTCAATGCCACAATCGCTATGTGGGGAAATGCACGTCGCGAGCTTATTGATCGCTGCTAAAACTTCAAAAAAGGGCTGCAAGATTAACTTTGGATGAGAGCATGTCAACCCCTTCTGTCTATCTTTTTCGTTATTGATAAGGTGAGAAAATTTGAACAACTTGAACATTTTTCTTATTCTTCATGTACTAAAATTGCAAGAGTATCTGTTACACCCATTGATTTTTCACTTGTTCTATTCTTCGTCCTCTCAATTTACTCAATATTCATAATATTCTTATTTAATCACCAGAAATCATAAGCATTGCTAAAATTATGCACTCGCCCCATTCCTCTTATGCAAGTGGCCGTGACACATTTCATACATAGAAAAGTATTGAAAACATGTTTATTTAACGATTTTATTCCATTTAAACAAAAAAAACTTAAAAGTTGAACTTACATCTTGAAAAATTGACATGATTCGAAGATACTGGTGTAAACATGGGCCAAAAATATTAAAAAGCGACCTTGATTTTTTTCGTTTAAAAACTTGTCGCTCCTGACAGTTCTGTCAATTTGACGCGTGTTGCAATATTCTAATTACAATACAAAATGTCATCAAATAACCAAAAAATCTGGTCAAATATAACGAACACATATCCTTAAAGAGGAATGTTGAACTTGGATAATTGCACACGAATATAATTGCACTCTATTCGAATGACTTTTAAGTCAAAACAAAATATATTTACCTTGCTTTTTCCCGCCTGAAATTGCGTATTACATTGTACTTGAATTTGCGTTTTGTAACGATAGGAGGAAGAAATTCGCCAAGTTTTACAAAATACTCTTCGAAAATCCATTATTCTCCATTATGACCAGTACGTACTGTCGTTAAGTCTGAAATTGCCGCCAAACGCCGGGAAATTTTCAAATAATTTGCATTTTTGACATGTTGACAACGTCGATGTTCGTGAATATTTGCAATTCAAATCAGAGATTTCGTTTGCAAGCAAAGCTGATCTGTCCTATGTTCGTGAAGAGTATTGTAACGAAGTATTTGGCACGGTATATATATTCCTGTCGAAGTTTTAATAAAATGCCCATATTGAAAAAATTGATTATAATTATGCTAAAGGGGATGGCCACTGACCAACCACAGCGGCCACCACAGTTAGGATTTCTGGCGATGTTTTTTTTTGGTTCATATTGTCTCGTCTGGCTTTGAAAGTCGGCGAACTTCAAAGCTTTATGTTTGCGCGCGTCGCCGATGTTGAAAAATTGGAAAATTTACTTCCGAAAATGATTATAAATTATTTGAAGATAGTCCATATGCTTACGACTGTACTAATATAACAAGCAAGTCAAAAGTCTGTAACTTTACTGAAACGACAACATGACCGACATCTCTCAAGCCAGAGAAACATACCCTTGAAGTGATTTGAAGTGTCATGACATCATGGCGACCGGACCTAATCTAGAGAGCTCCGTTATTGTTGATGATTACTTCTCGACCCCACCGATTTCGCTCGATACAAATATACTATCAACATCAACACCATCTAAGAAACTCAATCTTACTTGCCAAGGCAAAGAATTTATCTGGAACGACAGTCTAGAAGGCTTGAAAAAGTTTGTGTATAGTGACCTAGACCTTCGAGGCAAATGGACGTCTCCTGGCGGCGAGGTAAAACTATTCAAAAGTGATGGCTACTCGATAAAGTGGTACGGAAAAAGTAAAAAGCTACTAATTATCCAAGAAGATGAGAAACAGAGCCTAAGCGAGAAGATGAAAGAGTTAGCTGTTAAGAGTCCCGCCCAAATTCAAGGCGATAAGCAATATACTCAAGACAAAGCTTTAAGCGTTATGGAGATTGACCATGAAGCTATTGAATATCAAGCTCCGCGTGTGGGCCATAAGCATACGGGATGTGGTACACAACAGCAAGAAAAATCAGATTCTGGAAAATCATGTCATGATTTTACGGCAAAATCGCAATGTCGTTGTAACGAGCTGGCCTTAATAGTTAAGGATATTCAGAGCGATCTAAGACTTCTCAGTTCTCAAAAGTCGGACTGAATTAAAAGATGATAATCATTCATGTGATGATACATGTCGGACAGAAAATAATCGTGTAGGGGAAGATCTTGCAAAAGCCTACAATACAATAAAAGAACTTCAGGCAAAAATTAAAAAACTTGAGAATGAGAAATCTAGCTTAACGACAGTGATTAGAATACTTCAAGAAGATAATGCCCAAGGCACAAATCAAGACAAGACAACACTGTTAATGACTCGTGGATTAAAGCGAAGAAACGTAAACCCCGTAAGAACACTCAAATTAACAAAAGTAAATCGAACGCAGACTAAAGCTAATGTTGATAAGGAAGTCCTTACAGCACCAGAAGAAACCAAAGATGAAGGTACAGTGAATCGGGAGTTAAACAGTAAGGGAAATAACACCAAAGAATCTAGCAAAATAATAATTGCGGGGGATTCAATGGTTAAGCATTTAAATGGTTTTAGAATGTCAAAGTCGGATACTAAAGTCAAGTATCAACATTCCCCGGCTGTACCACCTTTGACATGCATGATCACATTAAACCAATATTACGAAAGAAACCCGACAAGCTAATCTTACATGTTGGGACCAATAGTCTGAAAGGACGCGTGAGTTCGACTGTCTGCGCTGAAGAAATAATCTCATTAGCTGAATCAATTGAGCGCTCAAATACCGTAACGGAGTTTGCTATATCTAGCTTAGTTACCCGTAACGATGATAAGGCTTTAACAAACAAAGTTGATCAGATCAATGCAGTGCTCAAACAGTCTTGCCAGCAGAAACAATGGAAGTTTATTGACCATAATAACATAACATTTGAACATCTCAATCAAAGTAAGATTCATTTGAATAAAGTCGGAACCAGTCTGATGGCATGTAATTTTAGTAAACATATTTATAATAGAAAGGATTAGGATAATGCCATGTGGGAGTCATTAGGTAATACTAATGATATGATAAGTGTGAATAATACATCGTCTGTCATTAATGAGGAAAATAATGACGACTTAAATAGTCCATATAATATTCATAGGATACCATCTCATCGTGGCCTAGTTATGGCTAGTTTAAATATGAATAGTCTATTAGCACATATTGACGAATTAAGAATATTTATGAATAGTACAAAAATAGACATATTATGCATTAACGAAACTAAGTACAACTCTACAGTTGGGGATCACGAGGTAGATCTACCGGGTTATGAAATTGTCAGGAGAGACCGAGAAGTGAATGGTCGTTATGGCGGAGGAATTTGTATATATATCCGGTCAAATTTAAATTATCAGATACGTGAGGATTTACAATCCCAGAGTCTTGAAAATTTGATCATCGAGATTAAAAAGCCGCGGTCAAGATCTATTTTGGTAAGTACCTGGTATAGACCTCCTGATTCTCCTGTAAGTCTCTTCTTAGAATTTAAAAAAATGATTGGCTCCATGGATGCTGAAAACTTAGATTATTACCTACTTGGTGATATAAATGTTGATTTTACATCAACAACTGAGTCACCAGATAGGGTCAAAATAACAGACGTCTTAGATATCTATGGTGTAGAGCAGTTAATACGTGAACCCACTCGAATAACTTCTAGATCTAGCACCCTTATAGATTTATGCCTTACAAACGCACCCTCTAATATTGTAAACTGATCAGGCGTTATACATCTATCAATCAGCGATCACTCACTAGTTTATCTGATTCGTAAAGCTCATATTATACGGGAAGGTCACAAAACAAAAGTTGTTAGGCAAATGAAAAATTTCAACCGGGAAAGTTTTCTAAATGACTTAAAACAAAAAGAATGGGATAGTGTAGACTTTCTCAATGGCCCCAATGAGATGTGGGCTGCATGGAAAAGCTTGTTAATGGAAACAATAAATCAACATGCACCACTTAAATCAAGGCGAATTAAAAACAGAAAATCTCCGTGGGTTACAACTGAAATAAGGCGGCGGATGTTTAGTAGGGACCACCTAAAAAGGAGAGCTATTTTGTCAGGGGATCCTGAAGTTTGGGATCAATATAGGCAAATCCGAAATAAAATTAACAATGAAATTAAGACTGCTAAACGTGCTTATTTCACAAAAAATCTTGAACTTAATGAAGGAAATATGAAGAAAACATGGCAAATAATAAATGACTTGAGTTCAAAAAATAATAGTAAATTGAAAAGAATTCCTAAAGTCAAAGTAGGTGAGCAAGAATTGACCTCATCAAGTGAAATAGCTGAAGCATTTAACAATTATTTTTCCAATGTCGGAAAAAATCTTGCTGACGAAATGGCTCCCCCTGAACATAGCCCAGAGCATTATCTCACACCTACAAATAAAACATTTTCTTTAAAAACTCCCTCTGTAAATACAATTTGTCATATGCTACGTACTATTGATGAAAAAAAATCGGAAGGATTAGACAGGATACCAAATAAACTATTGAAAATAGCGGCAGATGTGGTTGGACCTTCTCTGACTTCCATATTTAGTGCATCTATCCGGACGGGTATATTCCCGTCCGAGTGGAAGCAAAGTAGGGTATCACCAGTATTTAAGAATGGTCTTAAAACAAACCTAAATAATTACCGACCAATATCCGTTATTCCGGTTGTCGCTAAAATATTCGAGAAAATTATATTCGAACAGCTGTATCAGTATCTCAATGAAAACAATTTACTGACTTCCTGTCAATCTGGTTTTCGGTCTTTTCATAGTACTTTAACGGCATTACTTGAAGCTACGAATAGTTGGTCAATAAATGTTGATAATGGCCTAATCAATGGAGTTGTCTTTATTGACTTAAAGAAGGCATTTGACACAATTGATCAGCAAATAGTCTTAAAAAAACTTAAAAATTACGGAATTGAAGAAAACAGTTTAAGGTGGTTTGAATCTTATCTTACTAATAGAACTCAGAAATTTCGCGTCAATGATCAATTATCAGGCTCTGTTCCAGTCACCTGCGGCATTCCACAGGGCAGCAATTTGGGACCATTATTATTTCTTGTTTATATTAATGACCTCCCAAATTGTCTTAATTATTTAACACCGAGAATGTTCGCAGATGATACAAGTGTTAGTTACGCGACAAATTCTGTCAGTGAACTTCAAAATATCATTAATTCGGATCTAAAAAAATCTGAATAGCTGGCTTATTGCAAATAAGCTAAGCTTAAATACTGCTAAAACTGAATTTATGACAATTGGATCTCGGCAAAAAATGGCCACCATAAAAATGATGAACTAGCGATTAAAATAAATGACCATGAGATCAAAAGAGTTACCTCTGTTAAGGCCATAGAAACATATATTGACCAACATCTCAGCTGGGCAGTGCATATTCATAAAATGTCTAAAAAGGTTGCGTCAGCCATTAGTGCTTTAAAACGCGTAAGACCGTTTATAACAACTGACACAGTTATTCAAATTTATCGAGCATTAATTCAACCTCATTTTGACTACTGCTCCTCGGTCTGGGACAGCCTTGGCGAAACACTAAGCTGTAAACTGCAAAAACTCCAGAACCGAGCTGCAAGGGTCATCTTGAGGACTAATTATGATGCTAGTGCTGGAATACTTCTAGACACTTTACGTTTTGATAACCTTTTATTACGACGGAAAAAACAAAAAGCTAAGTTAGTTTTTAAGATACTAAATGGAAATATGCCCACTTGTCTACAAGATCTTTTTTCTGTTCGCGACTTGCGCTATAATGTACGAAATTTTGAAATGAAATTGAACTTGCCAAAGCCGCGAACAAATTATCTGAAACGAAGCTTTTGTTACAGCGGAGCAGAATTGTGGAATAGTCTCTCTGAAAACGTACGAAAGCTTCAATCTTTCTACCATTTTAAAAAAGCAATAAATAGGTATTTGCAAGCCTGAAACGACTCCCACACGGCAATCTTGTAAAGCAGTAACTATATTAGATTTAACTCTCTATAACTGAAGATTTTACTGTGTTTAAATAAAGTTTATTTTATTGTATTGTATTGTATTTCTACCATGTTTCGCTTTGTAGTCAGAAAAGCGTGTACCAGCATTAGCTTTAAACTATACCGGGTGTCCCAGAAAAAAGTACTCCGGTTTGATTATTAATAGCTTCTAAACTAGCTAAGCTATTAAACTGACATAACTTTCACTAGATAGAGGGAAGACTAACTTAGATTTTGATATATTACAGTCGTATTTTACTTTAAAATTTACGGAGATATCAATGCTCAAAATTGGTAGCATATTTCTGGATGTGTTTAAATTATATTGATTAACATTTGATACGGCGTTTTTTGCATAATTTAGACACCTCCAGAAATATGCAACCAATTTTGAACATTGATATCTCCGTAAATTTTAAAGTAAAATACAACTGTAATATATCAAAATCTAAGTTAGTTTTCCCTCTATCTAGTGAAAGTTATTTCAGTTTAATAGCTTAGCTAGTTTAGAAGCTATTATGAATCAAACCGGAGTACTTTTTTCTGGGACACCCAGTACTAGACCAATAACATAGTAATTGTAGTAGTTAAGTCATTATGTAACATGATATAGGGACACACTGCATGATATCATAGTAAGGTACAATATATATAGGGAGATCATCGACACTAACACTGACAGCACGTAACACTTATACTGAGACTTATTGATTTTGTATTGTTGATTATCATTAAATAAGAGAATATTATACAGGCGACGAGAATGGCGCAAGATGAACCAGATGCCCAAAATGCAATTACTCAGCCCTTTGTTTCAATTCAGCGTGTCGGTGAACTCAACCCCGACTCCGCAGTTGGCGAACGTTTGGGTACTCGTCGGAAAATTTGGATGCAAGATTTTTAAATGTTTATTCTGGCTAACGGTATTTCTGATCCGAAACGAAAACGCGCCTTACTCTTGCATCAAGCCGAACAACGTGTTCGCGAGATTTTCCGAGAAATTCCAGACACGGGAAGTGATAACGAATATGATGTGGCAAAGACAAAGTTAAAAGAATATTTCAAACCGCAGCAAAACCGACGTCATGCAGTCTATCGCTTTCGTCAAGCACGTCAAGAAGCACATGAAACCCTCCACCAATTCCATACCCGCCTACGAACATTACCGCAAACATGTTCGTTTCATGATGCGGACTTTTTTGAGATCGAGCAACAGCTTAATCACAGCAGGTTCGTCAACTCGAATTCGCACAAAAGCTTTACGGGATTCAACGTATGATCCTAAATCATTTCTTATTGACGGTCAACGCGATGAACTCAGTACGTACCACAAGCCCGCGACATTGAATCGAAAGAATCAAACCCTCATGGAGTAAACTCGATGGCATCTAAAACATGTCGAAATTGCGGGGGAGTAAGGCCTCATGAAGGACAATGTCTTGCACATGGAAATGATGTCAAAAATATCGTATTAAAAACCTTTCCTTTAAGGCAACCGTGGATTCTGGTGCGAGTATGAACGTTATCGATCAGGCACGTTTTCGCATTAAACTTCAGCCAACGAACGCTAAAGTTTTTTGGGTACAATGCGGCTAAACCAGTACACTTTCTCGGTAAATTCGAAGAGACAATCGAGACTCGTAAGCGCGTTACCATCCTCTTTCCGAGGTTTTTAAGTTTTCCATGCCTTAGTCTAGCATACGAATTTTCCTTGTAAGCTTCGAATTCAAGCCAGACCTTTTCTTAATATTTCGTATGTTCCCAATCTCGTTCCACGAGCCCGCGATTTCCTTTAGCGAAAAAACAAAGGGTCTCGAATAATCGAGACCAGAAATTATTCTGATTGGTCATTCTGGCTGTAGGAATTTCCTAATTCAATAAAAACCGTTACAAACTGGAGTTGGCTTTTCGGTCTGGATTATCCCAGTGCCTTGGTTTCCCCGAGGAATTGATCGCGGGTTCGGGAAACGAGATTGATATGTTCCGTATCCCTCGCCCCTCGAGCCATTCCCCTCAAATAAGGAAAGAGTTTGACAGATTCATCAATTACAATGATGAAAATAAAGCTTGTAAGCAGACGAACCGTTTTTTTTCTTAATTAAATTCCCTAAATTAAAATCTACAGTGTGTTTCATATTGAAATTTCCTTTATCATCTCAGGCGAACATTACGACACTCTCAGGTGATTTTAATATTGCTATTTTACCAATTTATGTTATACAGGCATGCAATAAAAAATTTCAAAATCATGCCAATCCTAAGCTTATTAATATACTTACATTTTCAAGCTGATTACAGCCAGAATGCTATACATGCAACCTTGCACGGACTTTGTACAAAATTTTACATTTCATGATTTTGCCTTTGCCTTTGCCTCATGACTTTGCCAATCATTAATGAATGTTAACAGCATTTTGAAAATATAACTAGAAATACATGCATGCATCAACCACTCGCTATTTCAAACCAAGTACACAATTTCCTGAGCTAACCTGACCTAAACTTATATTATGAAATGACACAAAACTCAAATCAGTCTTATTATATTTTACCGAGTATATTATAGCTAATGTTTCCATCATTCAATACAAAAATAATCATAAAGCTAGTGTAAACATTGCCCGTTCAATTTTGCTTCATTTTACCTTGCCAGCAATTAAGTAACGGTTTAAAATCGAAGTTTTAAACGATTAAAACAGTACAAAATCTTCACAGACAAAGAAAAAAACTTCAAATGTTATTTTATTCAGTAATAGCCTTTCACAGGTTTATGCGTTTGCATACCATAGTGCATTCTATGGGTCTCCCGCCACAGATCTGTGATGGGCAGCTCTATCATGAAACTCCCACCAAGGAAAATTTGGCGGCGATTATGAACATTTGGCGGAAGAAAAAAAAACAAGCTTCCATGGCGCAGATGGCGGATTGGCAGCGCAGTGGAAAACTTTTCATATTTTGCGAATCTTAAATATTTACTTAATATTTTATATAAATATATTTTTATCTTGGACAGTGTAATTGTAAATAGAAGACTTTTACAGTTCGACTTTTACAGTTCGAACTAGAAGAATTTTATAATTTAAAATTATTCAAAATTCGTCAAATGAAAGTCAAGGAATTAAATTTCTCTTGCAAGGAAATTTTCTCCAAGTGGAAACATGGTGACAACTGTCAACACAATTTACACAAATACTTAATAATGCAAAGTTATGCAAAGTTTCAAGTTGACACTTGACAACTGACAAGTCTGAACTTAAAGAACTTTGAAATGCAAATGAAAAGTTATGGTAATCATAGTCATTATTTTGTAATTTACATCAATTAATTTAATACGTATATTCATTATTCAACTTTCAATTTTGCATTGCCCAGGATTTGCGCTTAGCCGCTTACTGCTATAGAAACTAAAAAAGTTACTTCACGCAATCTGGCATTATTATAGGAAAAGTTAGGGAATATTCACAAAACCTGCTGTGTTTGTAGCAAGGAAAGCACTGGAGCACATGAATGTTATGTTGTAAAAACCCAGTACATGCTATTTGTGGTAGCAAATTGACTGACAGTGACGAAGGCTATGGACCCAAAGTAACATGCAAGAACTGTGAAAATGGTGAGCCACCTGTAAAAAAGACCACTTCTTGGTGTATAAAATATCCTTCCAATATAAACCTTAAGCACAAGGCTCCACAAGCAACACAAGTTAAACCTAGTGCTAAAACTATTGAAACACGTTGTATCTGTTTGGAATGCTATCGCAACAGTGAAGATCCAAACGTATTTGTGATGTCTAGGCGAGATCCTAGCACAAAAGAGAGACATGTCAAAAGACGTCATCCTCAAAAAACATTGAACGAAATCCAAATTCATAACTTCGAATGCCATGCAAGTGATTTAGAGCAGGCTCATCAGTTATATTATAAGAGCCCAAAGAATGCAAAGAAACCCTCAAAAGTATCCATAAATCAATTGTTAATACCTGCAGAGTCAAAAAAGGTTTTTCATGTCTTTAATTCTGCACAAAGCGATGTCACATCCTCCAAAAAAACACAAGAACAGTGTAAGGGCACAGAATCAACTGATCTTAACCTGTGCACGGCAAGAGATGTCCCAAATAACAGTCATGTGATAGATCAAAGCCAAACTGATTGCAAATATACTAATGTTTCAAATTCCGAAGGTACCTTAAACATAGACAAGATGATAGGCCAACTCTTCGACAATCAGCGCTTGACTTTCAGGCCCAGAATTCCAACGATTGGAAGGATATAAAGAACATAATTGATCTGACTGACAAAATATCTGAAATACAATTCTATGCAGGTGATTCATCTGACAACATCCCATCCGTAATTCGCTGTGAGGCATGCCACATCCTCTTAATGGATAGAATGAACAGTTCAAAGAAAGTTGAAAACCCAACAAAGATTGCACTACAAGGAATTGGAAAGTACTCTGGGTCCCTTTCATCTGACCTACTTCTTTCACCTGAGAAAACAGAAAGTGTAATCACAGGTGGAAATCAGTATTGGTACGAGATCAAAAGGTGTGTAAAACAACATGTAAGTTGTACTGGTGACCATTCCCAATTGCATTTTGAGGCACTTAAGCACCAAGCTGCCAAAAGAAAGGGAAAGCCAGAGGAGTAAGAGTTACAGAAAACCTAATTAGAATCGCCTGGAGTGTCATCAAATCTAAGTCAGCTGCTCAGCATTATGAGAATGAGATTGCTTCACATATCTCTACTGGTAGTGACCTAGGGGACATGTGTCATTCCCGAAATCACTTTAATGAGATACTCTTTGCGATGAATGTTTGGATTGATTCCCAGACAGGTAAACACCCTTCAAAGCCATTGCAAGCAACATCATTTCCACCACATTTTTATATCACAGCAGATAAGAGTACTCCGCAAAGAATTTCAGATCAGGCAATTATGCTTTGCCCAATAGTTGATGGAAAACGAGTTGCCATTCCTGTAAATTCTCCCGTTGTTTACAGTTCCAAAGAAGATTGCAATCCAGGAAGTGTGTCGGGTGGTTGTGCAGATCAGCTAGGTAGCCAAATTGTAAAAACAGTCAAGGAAGCGTACGAAGATAGCGAAGACTTTTCACTAGAAAGTGCATGGCAAGGACTTCCTGTGATGGTCAATATCAAGCGCAAGAATTTAAACAGACTTTGCACAACACGCAGGTTCAACTTAGCTAAGTTTCTCCCACTCGTGCAGGCTCATTGTGCCAGCGGACAACTTACACAAAATTGAGAGCAAGGCGTAAAACGAAAAGCTTCTAATTTTTCATGCGAAGACCGCTGGAAAACTGAGCCTTCTTTACCGGGAGAAAATTTGCCGAATATGACCAACGTGCAAAGAACTAGATTCGCCAATTGATCCACTTTTCTCAGGAATTTTTTTGGGACCCATCGTACTGGATAAATCTATCCATTCTTGATATCCGTGACGGAAAAGTTGCAATTGGGTCTTCAAGCTCTTACCTCAAGCGAATTGTGAGAAGGGCAAAGAATATTCATACCATGTTCCAAAGGGGCAAGATGATAAGCAGTGCAATTGATCTCTCTAAGCAGGAACATTTAAAGCTGAGAATGAGCAAGGATAGCTGCACCACAAGATTCTGGTCATCCCAGTTCGAGGAGTTAACATAATTATCGAAAGTTTTGCTGCCTACGTACAGGCGTTCAGAGCTTTTGATTACAGTGAAGTCAAAGAATACGAGATCCTTGGTGATGATTTTGTCATCGATTTGTGTTCAATCACCGATGTTATGAGAATTGTCATTGATTTGATGGTCAAAGTTCAAGCGCTAAGCTGTCCATGTTTATTCAAAATATTTGCGTAAAGAATCTACCCACACTAGAACCCATCGAGCTCGTTATACGATTTGTTGGAACGATTTGACAATTTTCTGAATGTTAATGATTGCGTTGAGTCGTTGACCACATATTTTCGATGCAGTACATGAATTGTTAATGTTGAATAGGCTTTTAGCAATTAATTATGCTCAAATATAGAATTTTCCAGTCATACGACGCGCAAAACCAATTCAAAGCGTTGATATTACAATAATGATATTAATATTTACTAGTAACTGGTAGTAAGTGCAGTAATTTTCTTTATGTAGCCATTCACTAGTTGTAGCCTTCTGGGCTGTGGCGGTGAAGTAATAATTATTGTGTATTTCTTATTTACTACTCAATCTGTCATGCAACGATCAAAAACATTTATAAGCTTGCAGATTATGAGTTATTCTTCTTACGCGGCTTTGTCTTGACTGTATCCACGTTCATCTTTGCTATTTGTCATGCTTCATATATCTTGTTTCTTCTCGTCTTACTTTCTTTGCACAAAGTTTATTTAAAAACACTTTTACAAAAATGTTTACGAAATGACAGTTAAATTGCTGACGTTCTCATTGAAACACAAACTTTCTGTCTTAGCCAATCAGAACGTTCGTTGATTACCAGACGTTACTCGCGCATGCGCATAACTTACAAAACCACCCAACTTCGACCGTCCATGACAAAGAATTTGGACAACCTTGGATTCGCCTATGTTCTACCAGGTTCAGGGTGTAATTCCTAATCTCCGAGCGGAATTAGTATTAGAATTGGACTGTTCTAAATACCGTGCAAACGTTGCACTATTCGAACAACGTACTAAATATGACAAAATACAGAATATTGCAGTACAACAACACAACAATTTGACATTTTCACTTTATATGTATATGTATTAGAAAAGGCGATTATAGTATAGTGCATAAGCTGGTGTTTTATTGTTATGAAATTATACCAGAGTGAAATATCATATTCTACTTGTTATAAAAAGCGATTGTTTTCAAGTGAAATGGAAATGTTTTGTGCTCGGCGATATTTTGTTGTTAATTACAAGCTTTACCTCCTAATTAAAGTCGTCTTTCGGAACTGAGCCTGATTTCACCTCCCCGTTTTTAACACATGCCCAAGGCATGTGATCAACATTGGTTTTTATTCCAATGTTACCTTTTTCATCAATCCCGATTACTCCAACGAACTGCTCCACACCTCTATTTGCTGATTTCATTTTTTGTATAGCACTTTCAGCAGCCGTCTATAGTTCAAAATAAAAGGGTTATTTAGTTCACTGAAGACAAAGCGTTTTCCTTTGTAGACTGTAGAACAGATAGGTAGCGTTATTTGCATATACGCGGTAAGGTAATTATGCATAAAGATATATATATATATATATATATATATATATATATATATATATATATATATATATATATATATATATATATATATATATATATATATATATATAATTATTTATTCCCATGTTTTGTTTCAATTTGAGATGATCAGCAATTCAGATGGATAGATAGATAGATGTTTAATCAATAACCATTGCAGTAACACAAACTATTACAGTTGCGACTGAAATACATGGTGCTTACAAGTTAAAATATCTAATTAATAACATCAATATAAAGTTAAAACTAAGAAAAAATTATTTACTTATTAATCTTTAAACTACTTGCTACTAAAAAGGTGTTCTTAAATCGTTCAGTTTTAAAATGAGGAATGTTTATTAATCTATTGCAACGAAGGTTATAAAGGGATGCTGAATCGACTTTAGATATTAGATTGTATAATTTATCACTAGGATTATCTAAAATTCGTTGGAAGAACATTTTGCTCGCTTGTTCTCTTCGGTCATAGAGAGTTAATTCCCCAGATTCAATTAGAGCATCCCTATAACTAAGGTCCGTGTATATGATTGACAATGCACGCCTTTGAATTTGTTCTATTTCATCACTTAGATATTTTGGTAGAGATTGATGGAAAACTGTAGACGCATATTCAAGTACAGATCTAATGCATGACTTGTAGAACTGCATGATATCTTCCCTTTTAACATTTGCCCGTTTCAGTTGTATTAAAAGATACAAACGTTTGGAACATTTTGTAATGATGTGGTACACATGACTGTTCCACCTCAAGTCCGATCTTAAGGTCACTCCAAGTAACTTTGCTTCGTGGACTATCTCTACATCTCTACCATTGATACTAATTGGCGGGAAAGTACTTCTATCTTGTTTGAAATCAATTCTAAGTTCCTTGCACTTGCTATCATGTAGTCGAAAAAGGTTATTATTTGACCACTCCTGAATATCATTCACCGAGTTTTGGATCATACTTGTTTCAAATTTAGGAACTGTTTCTGAAATCGTTAGGTCGTCAACAAACTTCGCTTGATCTACTCCATTAGGTCGCAAATCATTTATCATCAGTACAAATAGCCAAGGACCAAGTTTGGTACCCTGAGGCACTCCTGCAGGGACATTTCCCCACTCGGAGAAACACTCATTGGCTAATTTCACTCGCTGTTTCCTATTTGTTAGAAAGTTTATGATCCAATTTAAGGATGGAGTAGGGATACGTAGTGACTTAAGTTTGGATACCAGAATAGAATGGTCAATAAAATCAAACGCCTTCTGATAGTCCAAAAGAACAACACGTACAGTAGATCCATTGCCATCTGTGGTTTCTGTCCATTTATGAATTAGCTTGATCAGGGCATGGCTCGTTGACGTTCCTGGGATAACACCAAACTGGTCAGGATCTAGGACTTCTAAAATGGCTGGCTTGAGGTGCTCCTTAATTACAAACTCCTCAGCTATCTTGGATATTATAGGTGTTAAGGCAATGGGACGAAGATGCTTGTTTACTGATTCTACTGGTTTTATTTTGGGAATAGGGACGACGTTAGATGTTTTCCACACAGAGGGTAACTTTTCCTCTTCATACGAACTATTTAAAATGATACTGACTGGTAAGGAAAGTATATCAGCATATTGCTTATAAACCCATGAAGAGATGTTATCGGGGCCACATGCTTTGAAAGGATTTATTAATTTCAAAACTTCATAGACGTCTTCCTCGGAGACATGTAAGCTGTTCGGAGTCATTATTCCTGTATTCTCATTTCCAGTCGTGGAGGGGGTAGGATTTAACGGTTGGAAATCATTCAAAGGTTCGAGAAACATGTTGTTTATAGTGTTAGCAATTTCATAATTATTCATGCCATCAAACATTTCAATTTGGACGTTTGACTGTAACTCTGGTTTATGAAGAGGACCCATGCCACTAATTTTCTTAACAGCAGACCACCAATCTTTGGGCTTCGCGTGCTTAAGATTTTCTACCTTATTTGAATAATAAACTTGTCTACACCTTTTTCGTTCACGGTTAACTTGATTGCGGTAGTACTTGAAGGCATCTTGATTACCTTCTTTTAATGCCTTTTGGCGTTTTCGAATGTTAGATTTAAGTTTCTCAGTCATCCATGGTGCATCACTTGTACAAATTTTCTTATCTTTTATAGGCATTATAATATCCATGGTGGTAGTAAGAACATCATTGAAGAGGGTGACTTTACTTTCACAGGTTCTCAAGTTATGTAAACATGACCAATCGAAACAAGACAAAACTCTGCCCAGTGCCATTTTATTGCTTTGACTCATATCTCTAGTGCGTAGAATTTTGAAATTGTCTGGTTTCTTTGACCTTTCCATCGGAAGAACCTTAATGGTAAAGTGGTCGGACAGACCAAATGGAGGGAGTTTTTCAGGTTGATCGTAAAACTGGCTCAAGTTTGTTAGTATAACATCAAGAGTACGTTCTCCCCTAGTATTGAATTTAACGAGCTGTTTTAATTTAAACTGGCGATTGATACGGCTAGTATTTAATCTATTCAAATCTCCCATAACTATAATGCCGCAGTTCGAATTGTTAGCCTCAATGCTGGTTAGTGTTTCAGTAAGATAATCGATCATGGCTTGGTTGTCCGACGCTGGTGGGTGGTAAACTGTACCTATGAAAATACAGGATATACCACGAGGTAAACGTTTAGGTCTTATTTTAATCCACAAAACTTCAAGATTTGAATGGTGGAGATTATTTAAAGTGGTGGTACGAATTTCATTCCTGACATAAATGCAGACTCCACCATGTGACCCACCATTACGGTCCTTTCTATATATCCGGTATCCTGGTATGTCAATAACAGTGTCTTGGATTGAGTCTTTCAGCCATGTTTTTGTAAATGCAGCGACATCTATTTTTAGATCTAGGAGAACAGGTATTATTTCATCGATTTTCGGAGTAATTGACATCACATTTGAAAGAACTATTCTAGGTACAAAGTTAAAATTAAACTGATCCGCAATTGTTTTAATGGGAATTAAGTTAGAACGATTTACACCAATGTTGGCTGTCTTATTTTCCAGACTAAACTCAGATAATTGAGCCAGTCTGGGTCCCGCCGAGGGGGGTGTAACCATGGTTGAGGGAAAGACAATGGGACCGAGATTTGTGGAGATCGCGGGAAACTCGGCTGTTGGAATGTACCCGGAAAAATAGTCGCTTCCGAAAACCCTGATTATGGCTGGATTTCTTTATAAACTTTCTCCGTAATTTATGTTTTTGTTGTAAGGAGGCGCGATTTGTTATTCTTACTGCAATGGGCATTTGCGAACAGTTTGTTTTTGGATCTCGGGTGGGTTGTGGGCAGCCTATCGTTGGTTCTTGGATTGAATTCCCACCGATAACACTGTCAACGACGTTCACCGTTTTCTCGGGTAAACGGCTACTAGAAGGTTCTCGGTGGGTTGTGGCAGCCTATCGTTGGATCTTGGATTGAATTCCCACCGATAACACTGTCAACGACGTTCACCGTTTTTTCGGGTAAACGGCTACTAGAAGGTTCTCGGGTGGGTTGTGGGCAGCCTATCGTTGGATCTTGGATTGAATTCCCACCGATAACACTGTCAACGACGTTCACCGTTTTCTCAGGTGAACAGCTACTAGGAGTACTGCAAACATCCGCATTTACAGCTAGACTATCTCTTTCTTTTCGCGATTCACAACTTGTTGCTGATTCGTAATTTAAATTTCTAATAGTGCTGAGACCGTTCACAGTTTTCTCAGGTGGGCAGCTACTAGGAATACTGATAATATCCCTATCTAGAGTTTTACCAGACAAGCCTGAAAGGCTATTCTGATTTGATGTATTGGTTGAGCACAATTTACCTTCCAACTCTGAGATACGTGATTTTAAATGCAAATTTTCATTTTTTAATTTACATAGTTCTTGTTGACTTGCATTAATGATGTTTTCCTGTTCAAAGATTTTATACGACAGGCTTTTAAGCTGACCCTCAACATACTCTTTAAGTAAGAGAAACTGTTCTTCCAGTTTGACTGAAGTACTTTCGGGGCATCGCTGAACTGGTGTAGATACATTAGGCTGGGCAAAAACGTTAGAGAAAGACTTGTCGATATAGGCTCGGTCCTATATAGAGGCATCAAAGCTTGTCTCGGCTGTAGCTGTTGATTTACCACTGGTTTTAACTGTGTTTAAGGCACTCACCAGGCGTCTTTTAATTAGGTTACCGTCTTTCCCCTGGAATAACAAGGAATTACACACAAACGATAAAACTAACCATAGCATTGTCTCCTCTTTCTATGTTGTTAACAACTTCTTTTGCTAAGGTCGTTTTTATTATCGACTCTCCATGCCCACATGCAGTTACTGCACCATGTTTGTTTGCGTAACCTCCGCAGCCAATGAGAGGTACATCACCGACACGACCTTTGTATTTCCCTGGTGTACCACCTAGAAAAATATTTATGTATAACAATTTTGGCTTTCTAGTTTGTCCGTTGTGCAATATGCAAAAATGTTAATAGGTTTGAGGCTTTCTTTCATTAGTAAACTTCATTAAATTATCAATTATACCTGTCGACATAGCACACGCCAAATTGCCTTTGCAGTCTAAAGCAACAGCTGTTACTGAATCAACACTTGGTGGGACACAATCCTTGTAGTATACCACCTTTATCCTGTCTTCTTCACCTGGTACGATAAGTTTCTTAGGATCTAAGATAGGGAATCCTTTTTCCCGTGCATATTTCAGAGCTCCTTCTCCCGATAAGGCGCAATGTCCCAATTGACGATCATCCAAAATTTTTCTGGAGAGTGACACAGGATGATCAAAATAGCGTACTGCCATCACTGCACCTGCATGTATATATTGACGAAAATGAGTATAATTATACGGCTTTAGGTGCTCTATTGGGACGGGATGAATATTAATATATATATATATATTAATATATATATATATAATATATTAATATATATATATATATACAGTAGGAGGCAAAAGTTTGAGTCCAGTGACTGTATTTCATTGTTTTAGCAGCATATATTAATATTCTACAGAAAACCTTACCGATAAGTGAACTACAAAAAAGTACACGAGTAAACAGAAAAATACATGCTGTACAACAACTATGAGACGTTATGATATTCATTTTACGTATGTTAATGTGCAAAAATGCATTTCATGTCAATGCGTAGTGTCCCTCTTTTTTGCTCTTGAAATGACGTTTATTCTTGCTGGTATAGATTCCATAGGTTTTTTAATGTCGCACGTTTAATACCTTGCCAGCATTCGTTGACCACTTGTCTCAAGTCATTCTGGCTGGCGGGCCTGTTCCTCGCCCTTTTCCGGTTAAAACGGTCCTACAAGTACTCGATAGGTTTCAGATCTGAAATTTGAGGTGGAAAGCCATGAGAACGAGAGCACCAAAACGTGTTTGCTTCTAAAAGATTTCTGGCACATAGAAGATGTGCAGGTGTTTAGGGGGATTATCATGTAGTTAGACACGCGATCATCCTTGTACCAGATGAAATTCCATGTCCTTGAAGAATTGGATGATACTTTACTTTAATTAGGATCCTATTATATATTTCAATATTGCCAAACCGAGCATGACCGAAGAAGCTAAAAGTTTGCTTGAGTAGGATTTAGTTTCTTCGAACCTCTCCAAGGTTAGTTGCATACCACCTTTTTAAATTCTCACTTTTTCTGCGATCTTGCGAGGAAAGAATCCTTCAATACTTAATGCAACTATTTGTCCTTATGCACCATCACTTTGCCCTTTTTCCCACCCATCTTGGGCAGTGTAAAGGAATAAGAACTTTATTTTGTTATGATTTAGATCATTAGGACCAAAACAGTGTGTAATTAATATGGTTTAAAATACTGAAACACTAATACGCATGTCTTAGCTCGAATACACTGCCAGGGTTTAATACTGGAATTCTACAACGACTGGACTCAAACTTTTGCCTCCTACTGTATATATATATATATGTGTGTGTAAGGTGTATTTGTTTTTCTACACAAGTATGCCCAACCGGGCAAGCAGAAAATTCTACTTGACCGCGGTGGGTATCGAACCCGCGACCTTCGCATTTCTAGAACGATGCTCTACCGTCTGAGCTACAAGGCCAAGTTGGGAACGACTGTGATTTTACTTAAGATTTTATTGACAATGCGGAGTTTCGTCCTTTTACATGTCGTTATGCAGTTACTTCTGCAAATGTTGATATAAAAAGTACAATATATATATGTATATATATATATATATATATATATATATATATATATATATATATATATATAAATATATATATATATTATAAATATATATATATATATATATATATATTTATAATATATATATATATATATATATATATATATATATATATATATATATATATATATATATACACCCGTTTGCAAAAACGTTGGCCGCAGATAGATATATAGATAGATACCCGAAATCTAATTAGAATTGCATATGTTGTGTAATATGATTGAAATCCGATGCAAATGTAATCATATGCAATTATAATTAGACTTCGAGTATCTATCTATCTATCTATCTGCGGCCAACGTTTTTGCAAATGGGTGTATATATATATATATATATATATATATATATATATATATATATATATATATATATATATATATACACCTATTTGCAAAAACGTTGGCTGCAGATAGATAGATAGATAGATAGTCGAAATCTAATTAGAATTGCATATGTTGTGTAATATGATTGAAATCCCATGCAAATGCAATCATATGCAATTCTAATTAGACTTCGAGTATCTATCTATCTATCTGCGGCCAACGTTTTTGCAAATGGGTGTGTATATATATATATATATATATATATATATATATATATATATATATATATATATACAGTCATTCCCAAAAACGTTGTCCAGACATATATATATATATAAATACATAAATATCGCGCACGTGACCGCTAAAGATATGCATAAACTCGCGCGAGGTTTTGCGTGATAATTGCGAGTTTGGCTATCTTGGTCGTTGCTTACTTCCCTAAAATGCCAAGACCGTATTCAGATGATTTGCGCTGGAGAATGGTATATCAACGTATATTTTTTGAAAGAAGTTACGATGAGGTTGCATCTCAGTTATTTGTCTGCCCCAAAACTGTTTACCGAACAGTTAGCACTTTTCATGCCATCTTGGTCGCCCAAACGGGAGCACAACTTTGTTTCCTCATGAAGAGTACATTATCATGGACTGCCTTCTGCGAACACCTCAAATACAGCTTAGCGAAATAGCAAATTACATTGTCAACGCTACTGGCTCTGCTTTTGGTCCACAGACGTTGTGTCGTGCACTCTACAGGCTTGGAATAACACGCAAGAAGGTAAACATGAATATATAATAATATTTTGAGACTCTATAGAATCCGTTTCTAGCCATTATACCTTCATGAAATATGGTATAAAACATATACTCTCGAATACAACTTCCATCTTCAACACAATATTTGAAAAAAGAACGGAGAGTATAAGGTTCAATAGCAGTATTTCGAATTTATTATATAGTACCAAATATTCTGTAGCTATTTACTCCGAGCGATGATAAATTTGTAATAACTTTGAGATTCTTTATAATATACAGAAGTTTCATGTTTTCCATGCTAACGTTGGCTATAAATCTCAAACAATAATTATTGCAGCTTAATTTTCAACTTTTTAAAAGCGAGCAAGGTAGATTATGATTTTATGTGCCATTCGTCAATAACATGTTTCTCCTATTTTTACATGCAGATAACCACCCAGTGCATCCCAAGAAGTGATCGATCACATTTATGACTCAGGAGTAATTATCCGCTTTTTACCACCATACAGTCCTGACTTGAACCCAATCGAAGAGGCTTTTGCCAAAGTGAAACACTACTTACGACAGAACGATTTAGTATTGCAATCAGTGCGAGATCTTAGCCGTGACATTTAAAGTTTAAATAACAACAATACCACCATTTGGTTGTAACCTCATTCGCACTGCGAGTTGTTAGATTAAAGTTGTTTCGAGTATAGGGCCTTTATATCAAGTTAAATTATAGACAATTTCGGTTTATATTTTTTTATGTACGCCACAACGCCGGTGACATGCAACGCTATATAGGCTACATACTTGTATAACGGAGCCATGCATGCTATCATGCACTTTCAGTAACCTAAGAATATTATAATATCGAGGGAACTTTAAGCAATGCGTTGCAAATTTTCCCGTCTAACATGGATAGATATCGTCGTCATAATTAGAGCCTCTATATATAAATACATGAAATGAAAGAATATTTTGCAATTTCCGCGGATCAAATATAGCCAGCGTGATGCATGTACTGATGTACCCCAGACAATCACTGAATGTTATTTGCCCAAAAGCTTCCCTTATAAACGGGCTAGGATCTCGCACTGATTGCAATACTAAATCGTTCTGTCGTAAGTAGTGTTTCACTTTGGCAAAAGCCTCTTTGATTGGGTTCAAGTCAGGACTGTATGGTGGTAAAAAGCGGATAATTACTCCTGAGTCATAAATGTGATCGATCACTTCTTGGGCATGATGCACTGGGTGGTTATCTGCATGTAAAAATAGGAGAAACATGTTATTGACGAATGGCACATAAAATCATAATCTACCTTGCACGCATTTCTCATCTTATCTATAAACTACCTATAGATGTAGTTGGGTGGGTATAGTTGGCATACTAACCTCAAAGAATTGTTGTCTGCATGCCCCTTAGTTTGTGTATAATACGAGTCTGTAAAGTCCCTTGAGACATTGCGGAAATACACATGTGCACGCGCGTATATTAATTGGATTCTCACCCATTACCAGGACGCATCGCGGGTTTTCCCCATTGAACACATTCATTGCTGGTAAAAGCTGCTCATCAAGAAACCGTATAAAAGAGTGAGTGTCAAATCTCTCATCTGCATTCTTTAGCAAGCCGTTAGCGAGAAGCCCGTCACTCGAAATCGCTGAAATTGCCGAATAATGAGGCGCCCATCGTGCATAGCTAAAGTCCTTAACAATAGCAGGTGTTCCACGAGCGCTATATCCGAACTGTCGAGCAATTTGTTTATCCTTATAAACAAAAACAAAACACAACTATACATAAAAGGAAGAAGTGAATATATACAGCTTGTCTAGCAGGGTTTTAGAAAAGGGTACAGCCTAATAATTTCTATGCATACAATTCCTGTTTCGCCAAGGAAAACAATTTGGTTTGGATGCAAAACGCTGATTTCTGCTTTGAATTCTTGCCTCAGGTCATCGTTCCGTTGCATGGCAATTCGGTGTATCTGCAAAAGAAATTGCTTTTAAAAAGTTGAAAATTAAGCTGCAATAATTATTGTTTGAGATTTATAGCCAACGTTGGCATGAAAAACATGATACTTCTGTATAATTTTTATTATAAAGAATCTCAAAGTTATTACAAATTTATCATCGCTCGGAGTAAATAGCTACGGAATATTTGGTACTATATAATAAATTCGAAATACTGCTATTGAACCTTATACTCTCCGTTCTTTTTTCAAATATTGTGTTGAAGATGGAAGTTGTATTCGAGAGGATATGTTTTATACCTTATTTCATGAAGGTATAATGGCTAGAAACGGATTCTATAGAGTCTCAAAATATTATTATATATTCATGTTTACCTTCTTGCGTGTTATTCCAAGCCTGTAGAGTGCACGACACAACGTCTGTGGACCAAAAGCAGAGCCAGTAGCGTTGACAATGTAATTTGCTATTTCGCTAAGCTGTATTTGAGGTGTTCGCAGAAGGCAGTCCATGATAATGTACTTTTCATGAGGAAACAAAGTTGTGCTCCCGTTTGGGCGACCATAACGGCATGGTTTCACATCACCCGTGGCAAGAAAAGTGCTAACTGTTCGGTAAACAGTTTTGGGGCAGACAAATAACTGAGATGCAACCTCATCGTAACTTCTTTCAAAAAATATACGTTGATATACCATTCTCCAGCGCAAATCATCTGAATACGGTCTTGGCATTTTAGGGAAGTAAGCAACGACCACGATAGCCAAACTCGCAATTATCACGCAAAACCTCGCGCGAGTTGATGCATATCTTTAGCGGTCACGTGTGCGATATTTATGTATTTATATAATTATATATATATATATGTCTGGACAACCTTTTTGGGAATGACTGTATATATATATATATATATATATATATATATATATATATATATATATATATATATATATATATATATATGTATGTATATATATATATATATATATATATATTATATATGTATATATATATATATATATTTATATATATATATATATATATATATATATATATATTATATATATATTATACCTGTGTTATATAATATACCTGTGTCTAATGAATGACCTTCCATAATCATTGCATCGCATTCAACGTTTCCATCTTGATTCACAAAGGAACCACGACCTGCGTTAAAATATTCCTTTTCCTCCATGGAACGAACTGCCGCTTCAACCGCATCAACGGCTGTGCCGTTTTTCTGTTAAAAGATTAGTAATTAAAGAGTTAGTTTTAGGTACTTTATTTCTATACTGGCAAAAGTACTTGGACTTATAATCTACTTCTTCAAAGCAATGTTACTGAACGATGAAATCATTACATTTAATTCAAGTAATCGCGCCACCAGGAGCGAGACAACCAATGGCATTAGGCCGACACAGATCGGACGCGAAGCGGCAACGCGGCGCGAATTTTCAGTTTTCAGAAGTATATAAATTAAATTCTGGGATCAAAATTTGGAATCTATGGACGCTAGACCAATCAAAATGTACGGTGGCTCACAGAGGCCACCCATATAAATACGTTAATACCAATCCACAAAAATTCAAAACACAATTTAAATATTTCGAAAGGCACTTTACATGTTTTCAAACGCACTTTAAATATGTGCCAACACACTTTAAAAATTTTTAAATGCACTTTAGGTTTTCCAACACACTTTAAATTTTCCAACACGCTTTAAATTTTCTAACACACTTTAAATGTATTATTTTAATGCAATCTACAAGAAAATTTTGATAAGTTAAAATTTATTTGCTTTTGAAAAATATAAAACGTTGAAAATTCGCGCCGCGTTGCCAATTCGCGTCCTGTCTGTGTGAGCCTTTAATGTTGTCGTACCAAGAGTACAAACACCGTAACTTATCAAAATAGCTATTATTGCAGGATGTCAATAATATTCAGCAGGTTACCATCAAATATACGTAGATCGGACGTTACTATTAGTCAATTTTACATGTCAACCTGAAATCCTAAAGAATATGCCGGATGCATTACTCACTTGCTAAGCATGCGCAGCAAGAGAAACGCTTTTTAGTCAGATGAGAGACATTTTGTTGTTAATCTGTGAGTCTTTGACCTGGGGCCGGTTGTACATTTTGTTTGCTTGATGAATAAAACGATAGACCTGTTCTCTATTTTGAACTTAGCCGCCGTTTAAGCTAAACGGGCTTGACACAACCGACCCGTGATAATTACCTTTACCAGGCATGAAACTTAAGTAGTTTGTATAATTTTGACTCAATAAATGTTTTAAATTTGCTTTACTTCAAAATATATTGAGCACTCTTCATATTTGTATTCGCAACAAACGATAAATTTAGGCGATAAAATTATGTCATATACATACACAATATCATAATTATGTAAGAACGCGGTAAATTCGGGGCGTGGTATTTATTCGGATACCTCACAATAGCGGAGAATTCGAATTTTGAATACTTTGCTCGTGCGCAATCCGTCATCTAATTTTTTTTCCAAAAATCGTGGGATCGTGCAGAAAACGTCAATATGCAGGAAGTATAGAACATGATATAAAGAGATAGTAAGGACGCGCTAAACACAAAAAATTTGCAAAAGTTTACTGTATATTAATTTCGCTTTAAGATTGTTGCTTATCTATACCTTTAAAATTTCATATCCTGCTTTAGCTGCTTCTTCTGCTCCTTTCACGTAACTTTGTAGCCAACCCTTTTTGTCGAGCAATGCGTTGTATAAGCCACCTTCAACGATAATCTGTGGCTCTGTTCTTTCACGTGATACCCGTGCTCCTTAGGAAAAAAAGATTTATATGAATAAATTTATAGACAATCTCCCATTGCAGTGGAACGCCTTTATTATAATAAATTTTTGACGTATACGTCAAAGAAATATCTTATGGAATAAAAAAGATCATGTTGCAACAACAAAAATAGCCAAATTTCAGGCAATCTTCTATCACTCAGAAATTTCGCTTAATTATTATATTGTTGCATTGTATTGCTTAAGCGTATATCTAAATATAGCTTCATAAAGCGGTGTATATAATATCGCTCAGGTGGTATATATAAAGTTAGCCTTCAAGGCAATGATTTCGGAAATCAGTCTGGGACAAAATAATATTAATATATATATATATATATATATATATATATATATATATATATATATATATATATATACATATATATATATATATATATATATATAATATATATATATATATTATATTATATATTATATATATATATATATATATATATATATACACCCATTTGCAAAAACGTTGGCCGCAGATAGATAGATAGATAGATACTCGAAATCTAATTAGAATTGCATATGTTGTGTAATATGATTGAAATCCCATGCAAATGTAATGATATGCAATTCTAATTAGACATCGAGTATCTATCTATCTATCTATCTGCGGCCAACGTTTTTGCAAATGGGTGTATATATATATATATATATATATATATATATATATATATATATATATATATATATATTTGTATTTATGCTCTCAATTCAGCCATGTGTTCACTTGTGGATATATATGTAAGGTGTATTTGTTCTTCTGCACAAGTATAACCAACCGGGCAAGCAGAAAATTCTACTTGACCTCGGTGGGAATCGAACCCGCGACCTTCGCATTTCTGGAACGATGCTCTACCGTCTGAGCAACAAGGCCAAGTTGGGAACGACTATGATTTTTACTTTACTTTACTAACTTACAACTTAAGTAAAAATCACAGTCGTTCCCAACTTGGCCTTGTAGCTCAGACGGTAGAGCATCGTTCCAGAAATGCAAAGGTCGCGGGTTCGATTCCCACCGCGGTCAAGTAGAATTTTCTGCTTGCCCGGTTGGTTATACTTGTGCAGAAGAACAAATACACCTTACATATATATATATATATATATATATATATATATATATATATATATATATATATATATATATATATATATTTATATATATATATATATATATATATATATATATATATATATATAGATATATATATATATATATATAGATATATAGATATATAGATATATAGATATATAGATATATATATATATATATATATATATATATATATATATATATATATATATATATACACCCGTTTGCAAAAACGTTGGCCGCAGATAGATAGATAGATAGATACTTGAAGTCTAATTAGAATTGCATATGACTACATTTGCATGGGATTTCAATCATATTACACAACATATGCATTTCTAATTAGATTTCGATATATATATATATATATATATATATATATATATATATATATATATATATATATATATATATATATATATATATATATATATATATATATATACATATATATATATATATATATCGTTACGGCTAAAATCCGAATGATATTAATAATTTATGACTAGCTTTAGACTAGAATCATTGCAACATGCATGCATGCAGCACCTCCTGCCATTTCCAGTCTAGAAAATAATCAACTGGATTATAGCCCGACCTTTGTTAGCTATTATTATTGGATCGAACTTTGATTCGGCTTTTGCATAATATATCTAAAACTATCCAGACCTCGGTCAATGTTATGCCAATGTTATGTCAGCCTCGCCGAATAATTGTATAAATATTGACTACATCTTTACATTATTTTCAACGTAAAACAAACCTCTTTCGCAACAATGAAAAATCAAGTTTATCAAGCTTTTCTCACGATGACGAATATGCCGCAATTTTTGGGGTACTTTATAGCAAACGTGAGGGTATGACTTCCTAACGGCGACTGTGTTTAATTTTAGGCGGAAGTTATTCTTCAAATGGTCTGTTGATTCTAAAAAATTGCTTTTCACGTTGTTGTAATTTTTTAAATACATTTGAGAAAATTGAAAGTACCCGAAAAACGTCATCGTGAGAAAGGCTTTTTTAAAGACCTCTCTTGAACAGGAACTGAAAAAGTTATTTACTTTCAGAATAACTTAATTGCCTAGTAATACAGGAAGAAATTTTAGTGTTATTCAAAATAAAGTGAAATAATTTTCAAGTCCACACCCCTTCCCCACCCGCAGCGCAAATATTTTACTGTTTATATGACACTAATCTTCATTTAAAATGCGTCCGGTTCCATATTTGAGAAGCAAAATATGAAAAATTATTACTCAGTTGAATGTTCGTTGAACAAGTTTCTGATTGTTTTCCTCATAACTTATATTCCAATACTCAGATTATATATTTTGTTCTTTTTTTGCGAAAATTTCCCACGTCTTTCCCACCAGCATGACTTACAACATACTGTTAACGTTTGCGGTTTACCAGGAAGAAACGCCAGCAATTCCGCGTATGCAACGTTTAGCTATACTGAAAGTGAAACCAATATCTCGTCTATAATATACTAATCTTTTTTCGCCCTATTGACCGTTCGTGTTGAATGTTACGTAAGTCTCTCTTGTTATGTTTTAAATGATGCAAGCTATAGAATAAACCGCGACTTGAAGGCACGGTCAGAATGCCTTTAGATAGAAAAAGGAAGATTTTGTTATCTAAAAGGTTCCTCTTATAAAAGATATGCACTTATGCTTACAGCCAATCTATAGGGGTTACAATTAGATATAACGATTGTCTTGAATGAAAACGAGAACAGCTTTTTTGTTTATTCCCCGAAAGCGAAGTTTAATATACATACATGCTTATATATAATTTATAATATATTTATATACAGCACTGTTTCCCCGCACTGGCTTCATTTCCCCTAATATTAGTAATCTTTCCAGTTTTTTTAGAATTTAATGTATGTGGCTAATGCGTGGTGTCGTGTATGTAGGATCTCGATCAGCTCTACGGTAAATGCTTTCGGTTTTAATTCAGTATAGCAACATCGAGAACGTTACGGAACTTACTGCACAATTAAACTGAATTAATCTGTGCCAAAAGAAGTTTAATTGTATTTAAAAAAAGCGATACGTTTACTGAGACAAACCTTGATCAGACATTGTATTTGATCTTCAGTTCTTGGATTTGGATTCTCTACAATTCCCTTTTAAAACAAAACGAAAACGCGCCAATTTAATGTCAAGGCGAGCACTTAGCTCATTAATTGATGCACTAAACGGCATACCTACGTGTCTAGTTATATTTAAGTTTCGACTAAGCTAGTTTGCAAGCTATGAACGATCAAATTAGCAATATACTTACCTTTTTTGTGTTCTAGAAGGGACATCAAATTTACACAACCTTCCTGACAGAAGTGGTCTGGAGAGATTTTGTTCATTAAAATGCTTTTGCAGGCTGGGTCTTAAAAGCAATCATACCCCCCGCTATCACCCATCAGCACAATAGGTGAATTACCTCTTATTATTCAAAGTACCATGCAAGCATCTTCTGATTGGCTAACAGATAGCGACGAACATGACAAGCATGTATGCATGCATGCACCATGAATACCTTAATTATTAGGCTTTCTAAAAAAACGACGCCCGCCGAGTATAAATAATTTGAGAACCAGCAGTCCAATTTCATACATCTTGGGAAAGGATAAGTCGCATACTGAACTGGAATATTTCGTGGCAAAACATGCAACCGAGCATTGCAACAAGTAGAATTGATTTCTGCTTTTAGTGCATCACTACAACTTGTCTCGTAAAAATTTTTGTCATTGCAAGGCTTGTTAAACGATGCACTGACTCGTTAACATGTCACGCATTGTTTTAAATTGTTGTATGAGAAAAATTGCAGCTTGCAAGTGCTGAAGCTTTCATCTGGTACAACTGCAGTTAAATCGCCAAACAAATCTCAAATGAAACTACAGCGTAGACGGGTACGTGCAGAAACGAACTCGACAGAAAAATTTCTGACAATATAAATAAACAATACTGAGACTTGACTATATACTCGATGCTCGATGGGAGTCGAATCGGTCACGGGGACAGTTCGGTTTACTTTGATCGATAGCGTAGCTGCTTTAGATAGGTTCAGATCGCATGAAATCGTATAAAGTCGTATCAAGTTGCGTATATAGTATACGAGTAAACAATAGCAAACGATATAGCAATTATATAGTATTTAACCATGACATGCGACGATTAGCAACAAAGACAAAGTATTAACATGCGCGTACTTATTATAAGTTGATAACATGCTGTGCCTTTGGAACTGAAATCATGCAATATTTTACAAGACTGCTTTTAGCATGTGTTTATAAAGAAACGAATAATGACAAAGCTATAAAATTAGAATTTGCATAGCATGACTAAATCGTCAGGCTGGCTACGCCATTGTGCTCATATTACCTCTTGTCTACAACCATGCAGTCTTCATATATAATATAGCCGTACTGAGTGTTCTAAATTCTGCTTTAATACTGTTTGATAGCAATGAGCATCGATACTCAAATTCAGAAATAACTTACTAATGAGTGTTCCATAGTTCACAGTGAGTTATTTCATTAAAAGTATATTAGTTTCACTGACAATAATAGTTTACGTATTAACGGTATTATACTTATAAAATTACACATAATACATAGACACTCAACACAATAGCCTTCTGAAGTGCTTACTTCACACAGTTTCTATCTATACAATTTTGTCCCACTTGTTTCCCAGATTGCATTGCGATTCATTGTTCGAGACCGACATGACGTAAGCACCTCAAAGGTCTATTGTAGAGGTGTATTAAAAAAGGCAACCACGCCTAATATTTAAAAATTCATATTGCTTTTAAGTCAAGTAGATTTTATCAGGTCTCTGGCAGATAAATCTCTTCTGTTTGCTCACCTCACGACGCTAGAATACTATCGGCATCGCAAACCTCAAATCCCTGGGACGAAAATCTTTTGTGTATAGTTAAACAAAATTGATATTCATGTCGCGGATTAGCCACAGTTCAGTTAATATAAGATATAGATCAGTAGGACATGTTACCGTAGCAACACTCTCTGAACCTTATTGGTTAATGCTAAGAAAAGGGCGGGAGTGAACAGTTGTGATTTTTTGACATTGACTCAAGTAGGAACTGTAATCACTTATACTCGCGTGTTTTTTCCTTTTATATAAACGTAAATAATATTTATAAACTATCGATCGTCTGTTTGTTATTCGAAAGAACCTTTGGTACAAGTTCTCGGTTGTTTACGGCAATCACAACGCACTTTTCAGATTAATATTGATAACAACGCTCAACAATCGAGATACTTCATGAATATTATGTGTCGCTCGCCCTAAAATGCTAAACCCGTAACTATAATTAACACGAAAGAGTTAGAAACGTTCTGAACAATGGTTTAGAGTTTAAAATCGATCGAAGAATATTTGCCTGGAGTTAAATTCTGTGTTAAAACGTTTTATTCTGTGTTAAACTTTGGCTCAAATTTACATCGCATGCACAAGGACTTCAGGTTGAACCTGCAGAATTATGATCATCATTATGCATTATGCAAAACATGATAAGTCATTTTCAATTTCATATTTCTAGATAGAGTGTTACTTTCGGAGAATAAGCAATACAGAAATGCGAAGTACTATTCACTAATTACGTTGGGCCTACTTTGTTATTTGAGCGAGTTTGAAACATTAAGGCCTAGGTTATACGTCGCATTTTGGTCGCGTCGAATGCAATTCAAACAATAGATCATGAGATGATAATGAAGCTTAATGAGGTTTATTATCTCATTATCTATTGTTTGAATTGCATTCGACGCGACTAAAATGCGACGTATAACCTAGGCCTAACTCCTTTAAAAAGCAATTATTTTATTATTGCTTATTTAGAGGTGACGCACAGTATTACAAACTTCAATGATTGTTTAAGAAAATTACACACGTTTCCCTAAAATAAACAATGAACAGTGGCGTACGGGAGACGATAATTTTTTTGGGGGGGGCACATAGTCATATGTTCATGTTAACCGACCTGTCAAAACAATGGATTTGGAAATATATTAATCTTGCTGTGTGTATGAATATGTGCCCCCCCCCCAATTATCGTACGCCACTGACAATGAAACCTAAATATCCCTTGATGTTAAATAAGCAAAGGGTAAATGGGAAATGGAACATATTTTTTTCTTTAGACTACATTGAAGAAAAATGTTGGTTAATTTTTGCTTAGATTTTAGATGTAACCTCGTAACCTAAAAATATAGACTCGAAGAAGGGCCGTCGCTAAAAGGTTAATTGGGGGGGGAGGCTATACTCATGTTCGTTCATGCGACCGTAGAAACAATAGCTAACAAAAGAAAGGCGTAAGACGAATATATGAATATGCACCCCCCTCCCTTCCAAATTAAGCTTCCAGTGACGGCCCTGACTCGACGTCTTTTACTTTAGGGATAGCTGTCATTCTGTTTGTACTTTTCAACTTCTGGACAAAATTTTGGTGGTGGAAAGCAGGCACAAGATGGCCTACATCATTTTTTTTTGTTTTCTATTGGTCCATGTTTTTCACCACGTGTTTTGCCTGCGAAACATGTATCCTCGCCTATTTATTTTCATACTAATTCTCCTGACGAAGGCCCTCAGGTCGAGACGCTGAGAAGTGTTTTGTCTAATTAAGGCAGTTGTTATACCACATTTGATGCTAAGTTATTTGAAGACGCTGTCACGCTGCTGAGTGCTCCCTGGTTCTTCATATCATGTTCAACCTCATTCAATAATTGTTAAGTGTAGTCTATCTGTTGTGTTACAAAGTATACAATACGACAACATCCGACGTTTTCGTTGAATACTATGTTTTAGATGAGGGATTCCCAACCATGGAGTCCCAAGCTTCGGTTGGAAAGCCACTCGAACGAGATCAGGATTATTTATACACCGTGATGTGAAAGGACTGAAGTCATTTCTCTTGATGATGATAATGAGGAATAATTATGCTACTCTCAGCATGGGAAATGCCATTGATCAAAACCGTCCTTTCACAGGCTTGGTGGTTTATTACCTTTATAACATCACTGGCATACTTGACGTAGGTAAAGGACTAACTCTATATTTCCGAGAAAATCATATGAGAAGTGTAACCCAATACGGTGTGGTGTGAACGACATCCTACGTGATCCATATGGCACTTGGAATAATATCGCCGGATTCATGAAGTATTGGTAGCCATACCAATATTTCATGTGGTGAAATAAAGACAAACCACGGCGTCAGGTAAGATGTTATAATTGTAATAATATCTGTGAAGTTTTGGGCAACAATTAACGCATGAAGAAGTTTCGCCGTAATTAAGGAACTGGTTAACAGAGCAATAATATCTTACAGGTTTTTTAATAATCTATTTCATGCTTCGCATAAGGAAATAAAAAACATTGCTTTTTATTTTTTTTTTATAATAGCGATGCCTATTGCTTTGAAAGACTGCCTGCCTGGGCATATCAAGAAGTGAAGGAAATTTTGGCTACGGATGACGAAGGAAACGTTTACATTGGAAATTCAACTCGAGTAATCCTACTTCTAACGCAGCGTTGCAAGCATTTCACAGTCACATTAATACAACTGCTCGCGTTGTCAAAAATAAGGAACCTTCGAACCCAGTTGTTCTCAAAGGAAATTTAATAAGTGTGAATAACTCGTTTATGTATCGTGCAGAAGGATGATCAACTGTGTCTTTATTGCTTGATGATGATAACTGTGATTGTTTGTCCACGTTGAGCATTGGAGGTTCCTTGTGTGGTACAGAACATGGAAAGGGGAGTGATTTTGGTGTAGACAAAATTTATGATCCGACCTGTGGTGTTCCCAGACCATCCAATGGTCTTCGCTTGTACTATCGAACTGAGAGGGCAATGTCATTTACGGACTACGGTTTGGAATGGACAGCGTTTTGGTGGTGGACGAAAGATGCAATATGGCCGCAAACAGAAAATGATGTCTTAGGACACGAATACGGGCATTGCAAACAAGAAGACGTTTACTGCTTCCAGAGACTACCAATTTGCGCTATCGAAGATTTCACACATCTTTTAGTAGTAGATACCGCTTGTAATACCTACATGTGGAAATTTAGCTCCACTAATCCAACAGCTCATGCCGTTTGGCAGGCTTTTCATGGTCACAAGGTTACTTTGGCGAATCAAATAAAACAAAATACACATTGGAATCCTACTCTTAAGAAGGGAATAGCGCCCAAAGAGGTCAGAGTTGAACTCATTGTACTGTGATTTTAATTTAATGGAAACAATGCCAAATTTCAGCCAGAAATTTCTGCGAGATCACTAAAATATGTTTCAGCCCTCGAAAAATACGGTTGTGCCGGATAAAGTACTTATGATATAGC